GGTCTACATATCAAACCCGTGTATGTCACGGTCAGGAAGGTTGGTTCTCCCCACTACCGCCCCTAGATATCTCACCAGGAGATGAATCTGCTCGCCCTGGTGCAGGAGGGCAGATGTGGCTCTCCATCTTTTGTGGAAAATAAAGATGATTAATTGCTTACACGGGAATTGATCTAACCACCATTTTATGAAAAATGCAGGATTTCCATATCTCCAGGTCTTCTTGAAGGAATTTGAGTAGGGAACAAAGTAATTAAATTTTTCTGTCTTCCCTGGCATTTTTAGCTACTGCTTAATGTAGAGTCTGGGTGTTGGAAAGACTTAAGGAAATCAATAGTAGTATTAACCCTGATGAAAACTCTGTTATAAAATGGGATTGTAGCCCAGAAATTTTTATGGAGAATAGACAAAGGTTATAGTTCATAGATGCCAAGTCTACTGGCAGGGGCAAATTCTCTTGCTTTGTGACCTTTGACATTTCCTCAAAGCCCCAACTGTCTCCTGGTCCGAGAGATGGTAGTCCCCTCTCATACCACCGCCTGGACCCAGAGGAGATGATGCCGCAGGGTTGGTTGCCACAGCCAGGGTAACTATTTCTGGGGCATAAATGGCACCCTCCCCCAGTACCCTCCCAGGCAGGCGGATTGTCCACCCCCAGCTTTGTCCTCCTGTCTCTCAGGCCACAGTTGGTCATGAGGATTAACCCCTCCCACCCCCTCATCCCCTACTCCAACCCTCTGCCCACCCCCAGCAGTCCTTTGGACAGACATGACTGACAAGAGTTCCACAGGCAATGATGTCACAAAGAGAGGGGGCAGCGTGCCCTGTTAGACCATCTTTCACTCCAGTGGACTCGCCTTCACAGACAAATTGATTTGCAAAGGTTCAGGCTGCCAGCCCAGCCTGCTTTGCATACAGAATGCTCCCTGGTGACACAATAAAAAGTGGCCAGGCTCACAGAGGAGCACAGCAGGGTCTGGCCGGTTCAAAGTCCAAACTCCACACCCCCTCACCTCAGTCTGGTTTGAAAGGTCACTGTGTGTCTGGGAAAATAGTCGCAGGATACAATCCTTTATTAAAGGTCACTATTTTTCAACGGCACTTAACACACACTTACACACAAATTGAGACTGGAGAGGGGAAAAAAAACAGAGGCTGCATCCCATTGTATATTGTGCTTACAAGATTTATGTCTTGTGGTCACCAGCAATAAACACACACTGCTTCAGTATTAAAGTTCACATTAATCCACTGAGTCCGCCTTTCCTTGAAATCAGCCCCTTCTTTGCCAGGCAAACAGGGGCAAATGGAGAGACTTTTGTTCCCCTCTTTTGTTCCTCCACCATCTTCTCCTTCCCTAGTGGTGAGCTGTTTTGTAATCACTTGGTGTCGATGGTGATGGGGTGTACCAAACTTTACTCTTGGCTGTTTCCCTCTTGCACTGTGCAAGATGTGCGCCTCGCATTTGGATCCAAGGCCACCCGTATCCATCATGCCTGAGATGCAGTGGGTGTCCATGGGGCTGTGCGGGGCTTAGACTTCCAGAAGCATAAGTCAAGTGCTTTTCTATGCTGCTCACAAAAATTCAGGGAAGCACCCCGGCTAAGCCCATAGCCATAAAGCCGTCAAGGAGAGTGGCAGTCCTGCCTATCCATTATGTCATAGTTTTTATTTGAGTAAATACTCCCAATACAAGCAAAAACAGCAATTTTCCTCCAGTAGCAGACAGTTCACATTGGGTTCCCAAAGAACATTAACAATAGCAATCCCTGCATTCATAACAAAAGAGATTATCAAAGAAGTCAGCCCAAGCTGTTAAATTAATTTGGGCAAGAATTGCAAAAGAAAATATTTAGGAGAAATTCTATGAATTTCAAATAGCCAGCAAAATATATAATGTTGAGGATTCCACTCTGCTCCATAGCACATTTTTGCAAAGCTTTTGCCAGTGATAGATTTCTGAGCTATCAAAAGCACATTAATTTTTTCTGATTAAAACAGCTGTGAAAATATACAAGTGTAACTGTGAAAAATCCGGGGCTTATTGTAATACTTTAAGCAAAACAAGGATAAAAGATTTTTAAATACGGACTTGCCAAAAGTGAAATATCTAACACGAGGAGAGTTAATTCTTCGTGTGCTGCTAATATTTTGGCATAAATACTTTAATCCTCTTGTCCATCCCGTTGGCACCTCGTCTACAGTTGACTTGTTAAGGGCAAGTTCCTTCGTAATGTCGTCAGTGCCTTTCCCTAGTTATTGACTGGTTCTCATTAAAACGGCAAGATCACAAAACAGCACCAGTGAGAAGAGATGGGGAGGCAAGGGACTCCGCACTGCAAAGGTGATGGGAAAGGCTCCTAGCGGAGAAACAAGAAAACGGCAGAAGTGAAACCGACGAGGAGGAGGAGGGTCCTTCTGGAGGTGGGCCAGGCTTTGGAGACTCTGCTTCCACGTTCTTGATAGTTGTAAAACACACAAAGCATCATAAAAGCCAAGTTCAAGTTATATCTCATGTTAGTCAAGAGTAGGCAGTGATAGGGCGCATGCATGAAGCACACACCCATAAATATCTTGCCTTCTCTTCTCTTGAAAATCTTTTTCTAGGGGATATCAATTCCTCTTGCTCATGCCCCTGATTTGGACTTGGCTGCAGAGGATTTCATTGTGGCCCTAACCTAGTGCCCTGAAAAATAGTGTAAAGATTGAGGAAAGAGGAGTTAAGGAGGAAGCGAAAAGAGAGGAGAGGAGAGGAAAGGGGAGGGGAAGAGAGAAGAGAAAAGGGGAGGGAGAAGAGAGAGGGGAGGGCAGGGGAGGAGGGAGAAAAATAGAAAAGAAAAGGGTGCACAGGCTTGGGCTGAGTGCTACGCAGGCTGTCTTTTGGCTTCCATTCACATAGGAGTCCTGGGGTTGGGAGCCAAGATCAGAGAGAGAGGTTGCCAAGTGCAGCATGTTCCCAATGCAGTGCCCGGGCCCAACACTTGGCTCCTAGGAGGCGGGGCAGTGACTCTCCCGCATACAAATGCCACTGCCCCTCGAGGCTGTCAGGACCGGAATCTGCAGTCTCACTACAGACACAAGTTCCTGGGATTCCATACCAAGCCCCCAAGTGCTAAAGGCAGCACGCTAACGCCAGACGTCTGGGGCTCTGCCAGGGCAGCACAGCGGTCTCGGCACAGGAGGCTTTTACGACAGCAAAGGTTGAGGAATGAGATTCCAAGGGGATCTTGGAATTGCCAAGAGGAGATGGCCACGCTCTTTGTTCCCTCTATGGGCTGTTGGGGCGCATGTCTTTCTCTCCCTCCCAGCCTCCTCCCTTCCCCTCTCTCCAGCAGGGCGATTCGTGCCAGGGCCCTAGAGGGTCTCTATGGGGATACACCTCACTGCAGGAACCCCCAGGGACAGGGGCAGAGAGGCACAACCAGAGGTTCCTCCGTGGTCAGCTGAGGCCAGAAGGCAGCACTGGCAGGCAGACAGTGCCCTGGTCCTCAGCAAGTGGGACCTCTGCTCTGCCCAAATGGGGTGCTGAGGGCAGCACGGTGTTCCTCAGCAGGAACTATACCCTGGCCACCTGCCTAGGGTTTGACAATGCCCTGCTTCCTAGAAAGGCTTTCAATGCCTTATGCAAAGCGCATTGCTACCCTGAAGCCCTGCCATCTCCCTCTGCATTCTGTCCTTCAGCCTTCTGGCCAGGACCGCTCTACCCACACCCACCTCTCTACTCCCTGCGCCATCCCAGGAAACCCACGGGCAGATAGATACCCACAGAAATTTGCCATCAGGTACCTTCCAGGGAATTCTTATTACTGTCAGAAATACTTGGATTTTTCCATGCATTAAAGCCCCCTGTCATTGTCCTTCCAGGTGGAAGAATCCGGCTAACACAAAGGCTTCTCATGGCACAGGAAACCTTCAGGCTGAAAAACTAGTGTCCATTTTCTTTCATGCTCTTGGGCTTAGAACATTTTAGGTTTTCCTAATTTTGCAGGCCCCAAAGAAAAATGTCCTACTTATTTTCTTACCCTTGCATTTCTAAAGCCCATAATGATTGTACGTGCACACGCTTGTGTGTTTGTGTTTGTGTGCATGTGTGTCATGTTTGTCCCATATTACACATGGGAAAAATAATGGTTCAGCCATCAATGGGTCGGAGGTGTATCAGTGGCTCAGGCTTTGAAGACTGAGGGTCAGTCAGAGTCAGTGCATCCAGGACAGCTCCACAAGGGCCCCGGTACCTAGGACAGGGCTGACTCCACAGTCCACACGCAGTAAGCACTTACCAAATGCTTCCTGTGTCAGAATGCGAGTGTGTACCTCGGTGATCTCTAGTATTTCTTCTGTTTTTTTCTTTCTCCAATTAGTTAAAAGAAAACTCAGCTGGGTAGGAGATCAACAAGATCCTTTCTGTGCACTGAACCTTTCTTCTGTGGCCTTTCAAGGGGAAGATAGGGCAAACGTGTCTGCATGGGCACATGTGTGTGCGTGTGTGCATGTGTGTTGGGTGTTAGCATCCAGATGTGGGTTCTTTCCCTTCGCTATGTCTCATCTAATCCCCCCCCCCTTAGCTGCCTGGGTCATGCACCTGAGCTCTGTTATAATAGTAATTACAATGGATTTGACAGCCTTATGAGTATAGTTCGGAAAGCAGCTGTCACAGAAATTAGCCAGTTTTGCCAACAGCTCAGCTCCAAGATGATGGGAGCCCAGGCTGGGACAGGAGGAGTTAACCAAGATGAGTAGGGTGTTATGCAAAGCACCAAATCCCTAAACTCCCGCAAAGATCTTTGATGGCTGTGATCAATAGATTCCCAGACCACGCTGACATAACCTTGTCACGACTCAGCAAGGGTACAATGGCTGAAAAGGCGTGGGGAGGTGGAGAGATGGGAGCAGGGGGGAGAGTGAGAGGACAGGGGAAGGGATAAAGATATCATGCCCCCCACTCCCTCAGCGCCCCTCCTTCCCCACCACCCCCTCTTCAACAGGCATCACACAGCAAGTGACTGGTAATGGTTCTTTGGCCTTGTATAGCTTTTAAAATCCTTCAGCTGAAGCATCTCAGCTCCAATCGCCAGCAAAGCTGGAGCACCCTTGAGACCCTGGTGCAGATAATCATCATCCACTCAGTGACAAGAAGCTGAGCGCCGCTTCGGTACCAAGGAGACAGAATGTGGCAGGGCACCAAGGTGCCATCTTAGACGCATCCAAGCAGCAGCCGAGGCAGGCGCCACAGCCGCAGACAGGGATGCGGATGTGTTGCAAGTTGTTGGGTTTTTTCCTTCTTCTTCTTTTTTATCTTCTCTCTGCTGCCTCTGGCCTTCCTCGGAGAATCCTCTTGCTTGAGAGGGATGCTGTTATCCGGGATGCTGTTATCCGGGCTGCTGTTATCCGGGCTGCTGTTAGCGTGCTTCCCGTTGCCCAGCACCTGCCAGACCAAATTGAACCCCACAGTCAATACTACTGGGAAGGAAAATGACGTTAATTTGTGTAAAAGTGTAATCAGAAGGTGGGCGGGTAATTTTTCTTGCTTTCAGAGAAACACAGATTTGAGTTTATGATTTTATAAAAGAGCCTGCCGGTCAGCAGCTCCCTTCCTTCCTCCCGGCACTTCCCAAGTACTCTCTGCCGGGTGACAGCATTACAACTAATGGTGCTGCATTATGTATGGAGCGTGCTGTGGAAGGTACAGTCGGCCTGGATGGTCCCGCAGACTCAGGTGCTGATGGGTGTTTACCTGCTTGCTGAAAGGCGGAGAAGCAAATGTCTAGGAATAAAAGAAGAGCTGTCCCTAATACACACAGAACTCAAATCCCCAGCAGCTTGGAACAGCAGTACATGTCCGGATCGTTTATATTCCCTTTCCACCTCAGGCCTTTGGCTCACATTTTCCATCCACAGATCTCCCTGGCAAATTGAAGATGGTCTAAACAAGGAACACCACATCCTTTGCAAGGATTAAAAATAACTCTCCAAACAGCTCAAAATATTTTAATTCCATTGTCAACTTTCCATCTCATACCTTAACAAGGGGCTGCCTTCAGAGAGAGGCAGCTCTAGGCAATTCTCCTTTGCCGGCAAGACTTTGTTTAGGGCCAAGTCACCAGGCCGGATGCCCCTGCCCAGCGGCAAATCGATGTTATTATTAAGCAGTGAGCCGTGTGAAGACGGTGCCGATGCTGGAGGTTTGCGAAAGGGAAGACGCTGCTCTGTTCCTGATGCCAAGACAAGGACAGAGGTGGACACTGCATGAGCAGCTAGCTATTCCCCAGAGGTGCACAAAAGTAAGATGCTGACCACTCCACTACCAGAGGTCACAGTAATGAAGCCGAGGGCCTGGGAGAGAGTGGGAAAGGAAACCATCTCTGCCCTGAAAGTAGAGAAAGCTTGCCAGGAGCCAAAACAGGGGATTTTAGTGTCCCAGAGAGTCTGACAAAAGAAAGCTGCATCTTTAAAAGTTATTTAAGGGACTGGCTTTCTGCAGGGGGTGGGCGAGGAGGTGGGAGCCTGTATCGGAGACCTTGGAGACATTGAGAGGTCTCAGTGCCTCTGTATCTCCAGCCACCACCCTGCCACCGGAAAAGCTGTTCCTTGGGCTGCCCAACACGAGAATTCACCTAGTTCACCCATTCATTCACTCATTCAGCAAAATCCATGGATCGCATACCATATACTAGGCATTGCTCCAGATCCTGGGAATATAACAGAAAACAACTCTTGTTCCCCGTGGAAGTTACATTCTAACCCTCCACAAAAGTCAATGTCTTTCAGAACAAAAAGGCACAAGCGTGCTTGGGAGAGATAACCAAGAAGAGAGTGACTAAGAGCTGTGTGCTCTAGGGAATTCTTGATGGGGCAAAGGAGCCTTGGACACCAGGTTGGCAGGGAAGCGGGGAGCCCAAGTGAGCAGCAGGGCAGCGCAGGGAGAGAGTGTGAGAGCTGAAAACAGCCAGGCCCATTCACCTGCTTGCAGATCTGCTGAGGGTTAATACAGGTCACAAAGAGGTACTTGTGCAAACATCCACAGTGACAAATGGCGGGATTCTGCGTTACTATTGTATACCAGGCCGGGGCCGCACATATCTTTCTCTGCTCAGCTGATGGTAAGTCTGGGTCCCTGGCCCAGGTCAAGATGCTAACCAGCAGGGCTCAGGGATACTCAGACCAGCAGACAAAGTGTCTCTGAGCTCTCAGCAGCTGGTCGCCTGCTTCTCTCCTTAGGGGTCCCACAGATCTCTGTAGTTCCTAGGAACCCAAGCACATCAGCCAGAACCCCATTCACTAAAAAAGACCTACCAGTTTGTAAATAACAGTAATTTCCCTACAACTCTGATGTGTTGATCAGTCTCATAAAAAGCTGACCTTCATCCTTACAATGCACTCAAGGAGGTCACAGGTGTCACCTCACCATGGCATGTGTTCCCCTGGCATTCAGAGCCATTTGGAGTCCTCAAGCCACCCAGATGACCCTGCCTTGAGCCTGAGTCATCGGGCAGTGTGTCCAGTTTCAAGAGAAAAAAGTCTAGCTGCCTCCATGCAGTGGTGCTATTTCTGGCCCTCACCTGGGGTCACTGTCCCTTTCCAGCACCCTGACTCCTTGCCTCAGAAGCCCACACTCTGCTGAGCCCTCTACCTGCATTGTGCCATCTGACGGCGCCAGCACTGCTCCTCCTCAAGGAAGACCTTTTCCCCATTACTGGAAGTGTCACTCATTTCCTTCTCTCATAAAAAGGAAAACAAGATAAAAAATTAAGAAGCTTTCATATCAGGAATCAGAGAGCACCCCCAAAACAATGAGTCCCACTATAGTGCCATATGTACACACACACACACACACACACACACACAAAACCATCCCAAAACTATTGGCCTGAAAACTGGGCTCTCCCACAGATACCCCCTTCCACATAACTACATAAAAAGAGGTCAGGTCTCGGTCTGCAGCCTGAGCCCAGTCTGTGGTCTGCCCAGGGTCACTAAAATAAAAGATCATCCAGAGAGCTAAGAGCAGCAAAGTTACCCAGCGCGAACGATGCCTAGGGGTACTGAAACAAGGCTTGAAAATACAACCTGTACGTGACTGCCAAGTGGGTTATTAGATTGTGGCTGGTCCAGGATGCTGAATGCCTCGCTGATACATCGGGCACAATTTGGTTGTGCAGAGACTCCAGCTGAAGAGAAAGATCCAAATACCAGAGAGCAGAAGAGATGAGCAGAGAGGTCGAGAATGTGACGAGTGATGGAGAGAGACGAGACACGAGTGGCGATGAGACAAAGGGTGGAGAAACAAACCTAGTGCCCTCTCGCTGTTCCCAGGGACAGGAAATGAAACCAAAATGAGTAGTGAGTCACTACTCCAGCTGATGACATTACAAACTTCTCTTTTCCCTTGAAGAGAGGAAACGTGGATAATGTTTTTTGTTTTCAGATTTTTCAATAGTTTGAGGGAGGGCTTAAAAAAAATTGCAGATGGGGAAAATACAACAGCAACAACAGAAGGATGAAAAAAGACCATGAGTGGCCCAGGATCTGACTGAGAAAGTCTGTGCCGCAGATTCAGTTGTGTTTTTATGACTTGGATTTCTCCTTGCTGCTTTGTTTTCCCTTTTCTCCCCCTCCACTTCTTCTTTTGGACTCTGCTTTATTGAACTTTAGACAATAGTGACCTCTGGATAAAGATATGTGGTCAGCCGCAGCCTGAGGCAAGAGACCAGGTTGCAAAGGGCAAAGAATTGACCTTAAGAAAAATTTCTCATGGGGTCAAATCATACTGCCTGGCTAAAAAGATTCTGCCCCCCCACCACCCACCCACCAATAATGTTTTCTGTCTTACAGCAACTGATTTTGCCCAGCCAAAGTTTCACTCTTGTGCAAGGAGCAATACCCGCCTCTTTGGGGTTTGGGTGTTGGTCTATCTACCTCCCACCACTTCCTATCAACACCGTTACTTGATTGTGCCTCTGCTTCCCCAGATCTTGGCCTAGTGATGACAGCAATGTACCCAGGGCTGGAGAGCACCAGCTCCTGCCTCCTACACCCTCCCCACCCACCTCAGGACCCTCCCACCCAGGTCTTCCTCCAGGGATCCCGTCTCTCTCAAAACTGCTGGGCTGCATGGGCCAATGGCAAGGCATTTGTTGCTGCAAATGTTCAAATTAACACTTCTTCATGTCTTGAGTCTGCAGGGAAAACCAAGCCTGACTACTAATTACAGCTTTGGGGGTGAAAATAAGCAAGCCTGTAGCAAGTCAAGGGCTTTGTGCAAAAAAAAAAAAAAAAAGAAAAGAAAAAAGAAAATGTCTTCATTTGGTGGCAACATTTTGACATTTCAGGCCCAAGAGCTGGAGAAAGGAGCTTCCTCTGCGCAGACAGGCACAGCATCTTTGGGCCTTGCTCTCACAGCCAGGGTCTCAGAGATCCAGCTTTGGTGATTTTTTGCTCATGGCAGAATTGGGGAGGAAGTTGTCCCACTGGACACCTGGGAGGTCAGCAGAAGGTGCATGGCGCCATGACCAGCCAAAACTGTGGGCCCCTTTCTACTGAGCACAGCCTGCCCTTTGAGCCCAGAGGTGCCCTGCTGCATCAGATCTGGCCATCCCACTACCACTGAAGTTTTCTGACTACTCTAGCCCTAGCCATCTCTTACTTTTCACCCCTTTGAAGCACTTTTTCCTATCACTCTTTTGCCAAAATGACTGCTTGTATAGTGGCTTTCATTTACACTATCCTGATGAGAATTTTTAATCTGGAAAAGAAGTCTTTATTCTTGGAGAATTCACAATCATGCTGCCCTCAAATACTACTTCTACATCCTCTTCCCCATTTCCTCCTCTTAGAACTCCTGTGGAGCATATGTTGGGGTTTTTGATGTGTCTCTAAGTCACTGAATGGCCTAGGCTGGGCTCAAACTTGTAATCCTCCTGCCTCAGCCTCCCAAAGTTCTGAGATTCCAGGCATGGACCATCACACTGTTACCAGGTTCCAGATTACTATAGGCTCTTTTTGGGACCTCTCTCCAGGTTCTTAGTGTCATGAGCAAAGAATTGGACAAGACATGCAAAAAAAAAAAAAAAAGGTAGTGAGGTTTGACATTTTTTAAAAGTAAGAAAAGAAGCATGCTCTGCAGAGCAAGAGAGTGCACACTGGCCATGAGGTTAATAATGAATGTCTTTTGTATCGCCCATTCTTCAGGCTGACATCAGATCTAGGCCATCCTACCAAAAACCACCTTGATTTCATGCCAGAAGAACTGAAGACAACACTTTCTGATTGGTCCCAGGTGCAGGGCTCAGAAACTCTTCCTTGTTTGGGTTCTGGATCCTTGTAACTGACAGATCAAGTCCACTTACTCAGACATTTGACCACGCCGTAACCTCCTGCCTCAACATGACTTAATTTCTTCTTCATGGCTTTCATCCTTTTAGCTCTTTATATCACATTTTGGACATTTCCTTAGCTCAGTCTTCCAATTTGGTCTTTTACTGTGTACAAGATGTGTTTTGGCTCACTATAGAGTTTAAAATAGATCTGCAAACTCTTCGATAAATCTTCATCTAGAAAATGGAGTCTGATTCATCTCCCCTTGAGTTAGTATTCATTTTAATGGCTCCCTCAAATGAGCAAGATGTGATAGAAGTGATAGTATGTGAACTCAAAGACAGGGTCAGAAAAGCACTGCAGCTTCCTTCTCCTTGCTTTCTCTAGGATCACTTGCTCCCAAGGAAGCCAACTGCCATGATGTAAGGACACATTAAGCAGTGATACAGAGCAGTCCACATAGAGAGGAACTGAAAGTCTTTTGCCAGCAACCCTGTGAGACGTTTTAGAAGCACATTCTGTAGCCCCTCTCAGGCTTCCAGATGACTGAATGTTGGCTGATGTCTTAATTATAACCTCAGAAGAGACCTCCAACAAAAATCAACCAGCTAAATAACTCCTGAATTTCTGAGACAAAGGAATTGTGTACTATGCGCTCATAGTCTCATACTCTCATAGTTCCGAAGTTTCTCATCTTTTCAATATCACTTATTCTTATTTTATTGCCTTCTAGTCTTATTTCATCATCTCCATACTCTCCCTTATGATTGAAAACATCTAAATTAAATTTGAAGTGCTTTTTTCCAGACTGTTTTACTATTTCTTTTTCTTGGGTAGTTGTGCATCCATTTATTGAGTTTATTTGTTTTCCATAGTTTTGGACTCCCTGAACAAAACTTTGTCATTTTTGTTTGTGAAATGATCTGGCCTGGCATATAGCATGGCCCCAAGTCCCCAGCATGCTAACTAGCACTCCTCAGACATTTAGCCAAGATCCTAGGGATAAAAGCGAGGCGTCTCTGCTGTCCCTCTCCCCGCCACCCAAGGATGTGTTTCCTGGTCTTAGCTTTAAATAGGCTGTGTAACGCCAGCCCTAGGTATTCAGCGGAGTGGAATTCAATCTGAGTCCATTGATTAATCTAGTTCCATTCCAGAGTCCCCATGCACCCACCAGCTAAAGCCTCCAAATCCCAGAATGACCCAAGTGTTAAATTATTTTATGGAAACTTCTATATCTGACCCATGGAAATTTCCTCTCTTGTTTTAAACATGACTGTGTGCTTGATAAATGACCTTTCTTATTTATAAGTGTTCAAGGCAGAAAGAGGACACTGCAGCCTGAGAGCAATGTATTTGCCTTGTTTCTGAAGTCTTATTTACTAACTTTGCATACTTACTTGTTCTCTCTTTCTTCAATTACACCTTAAGCTTCTAAAAGTCAAGGACAGGGGAATCATTCTTTTTCCTGCTTCTCTTCATTGGAAAAGCTGAATACATTCAATATAAAAGCCACTCTATAAGGTTTGGATTGACTTACAGTTGAGAGGATGATATGATAAGGAAGTTTGAGAGGAAAAGGAAATAAAACTTCTCCCAAATTTCATTAGGACTTGTGCCCCTCAGGTTTGGAATCCCTCTATGAAGATGCTTCTGGAGTTTTCTGGGTCAGTAACATTTTGAAAAACTACAGAATTCGAACTTCTGTGCAGAAAAAAAAAGTACAACACACAAAATTCTGCATTCTATTTCAAGGATCTAAGTAATTTAAAAGTTAATCCTAAAGTATAACAGTGTAACTTCTTTTCATGTTGTGAGTTATTTTCTTCTGTCCACTTCCCAAAGATGCCTTCTTTAGCCAGTAGAAATCTAATGCCCTCTCTTGGCAGATGTGGAAGCTGAATGCCTGAGAGTCAGTGTGATGCGCCAGAGTGAGTCATGGTCTGGCTGCTGGCTAGATGCACCTTCAGGATCCTCTGTTCCCATTGTATAGATGACCTCTCCTCACAACTTTAAGACAAGGTACACTCCTGTGTAGTAAGTACCACAACTGAAAAGTTATAGTCAACTTTAATCCTGTCAATAGATGACAATTTGTTACCAATATGGAACATATTTCATCTTGTTTTGCAAGTACTCCTTTGTACCTGGTCTTTCGCTATGGATCAGTAACGTCAGCTGGTTCATCTAGAAATGGGACTGACAACCTAAGTCCCCTTAGCTACATGGAGCTCATGTCAGGCTCCCATCTGCCGTTCAAGGCCAAAATTTATTAATGCCTACTCTATATACTAGTCACTACTCTCAACACTGACAGTGCAGAGTAACCAAGACCCCACTAAAGTCACTGGTTAATAGAATGATAAACATGTTGACACATCACTGTAGAAAAATAAAAGTGTTGAACTAGAAGGGTGCACAAAGCAGAGGTGCAAAGCAGGATCATCCCCTCTGCGGTAGCTACAATGGGGAGGGTGCTAGAGGGGAGAAGGCCTGGGCCAGAGGAGACTGCTGGCAAAAGACAAAGCTAGAACAATTGAGAGAGGCTACATTCTGAAATACTTGTTTCACGACAATAAAGACTTAAAATTATGCCCTAAAGGCAACAGGGAAGCTCTGAGGAATTTTACATAGGAAGGAGGCATATTTTCTAGGTGAGAAAGATTCTTCTAACAAAATTACAACTAGTTCCAAAATATGGAAGTTGTTTAAATCATATCTTTAATTCACCCTAGAACAAATCTAGAAATTGCTAACAAAAATTATAATACCCCTTCAAAATATACCTATCTCCTTAGAATTTCTTAAAATCATTTGTAAATAACATGCTATTAAAGAGGAAAAAATAGTACAGTTCTGGAGTATAAGAAAAAATCTTACGCATGAATCTATGAGATACTTTCAAATCTAGAGTCAGTATATAGCCTTTAATATTTTCATCAGTAATTTTTAAAATGATAAAAGTAAACTAA